CAAAGTAGCTATGTTTCAAGCGATCTGATGGTATCGAACTGCTGTCACTTGGTAATTGTATGATCATGTTTACAATACCTATCTATTCACCGGTGGACGTTCAATTCGGATGCCGACTGCCTAGATAATCGCCGTGACATGATGATCGGTGTTTCATGAACAATCTGCCGATCTCATGTATTCCCCCGGCTTTTGGGTCGAGCTAGAACGGGTAATGACGAAATGATACAGAAGGGTTGTGTTCATGTTGCTATTGTTAGTACTTCGAGGACGAGCTATGCTTTGCGGTGAAGGACAGCTACGCGACTGCCTAGCAGGCTACATTTATCACTACTACAGAAGGAGGCTGTGTCGCCGCGCAGCAGCGCTTGGTCCTGTGATTGCTCAATGCACATCGAGGTAAGAGGCATTTGGAATTCGTATTGTTTTAGCAAGTTTATTGTTCAGTATACGTATGTATAGCGAATGCACTGCGTGTCTTACGACTTGGGCTTGTGCTCGTATGCCAAGCAGGACAGGGGAGTAGTTCTAGGACGATCGCCAATGGTCCCTAGGAAGATACGGACCAAGGGCCCAATACATACTTTGATGCTCACCAAATCATATTCAAGTTGTGCTCGGCATTCCCTCAATACAGGATATCTCGGCTGAGACAGTCATGCTTGAACTACACTAGCACCTCCTGTATCTGAGCTACGAAGTCAATATGAGCCTAATATTGAGTTCTCGTCCCACCGTAACTCTTGGCAGAATGAAAGCAGGCATCACTTGATGACAATAAACTTAGTTTGTATCGAAAAAAGCGGTCTCATGATCGACGGACTTTTGTTAATCTACCCCAGATCTCCAAAATCTATCCGTACTCCATACTCCATACATAGTATAGTGCCTCTAGTCTGTTTCCTAGATATTAGATCTTGGCCCGCAACTATATACGCCCGAAATATACCCCGAAACAAGAAAAGAAGATGAAACACCCAATTATGAACGTCTGGCTTATCGCCATTGTCGCAATGAAACGCCCGATAGTCTAAATCCCACCCTGCAAAGCACCGCTCCCCTCCGGGCAATCAGTCTTGGCGCCAATTCTGTCCCAAAAGAAGATCCTAGTCGACGATCGACTTTGCAGCTTTCTTGGCTGCCCTCGGTGTATAGCTTGGCGTATAGATAGCTGTTGTACGGAGTGCTTTGAGTTAGGTACAGTATGTAGACCTCGTAATACTTCCTGATTCGGCAGAGGTGGAGTTACACATGTATAATAAACACAATAGCCTAATCGAAATCCCATCACTCCTTGATTGCCTGTCAGCTTCATGCACGTACATACAGAGCAAAGCTGATACAGGTATGTATTCCCATGTATCGCATAGTACTCATGCACCGCAGTATCCTGGTATCGTATCTTTCCTCCCCCCCCCCCC